AGACTGCACGGGAAGACACATCGAGACCCCTGCCGACAGTGGGAAGAGGCTGTTGGGCTAGGTCCTGAGTTTTCAATGGGCAAAGGCAGGGGCGCTTTAGACATGGTGTGGAGGCAGAGTGTGCATGCTGAGAGGACCACAGGGCATAGGATGCATTATGGAACCGTCTTGTGGGATATCATGCAATTCTATGAGCATATCACGCATCAGAAGTTATTACAGCAGAGTGTTATTTCTCAGTTTCCTCTCCACATCCTTCTCTACACGCTGTCCACGTATCGTTGGCCGCGGACGCTGCTGTTGGACGGGGCTTTTGCTGCCCCTGTCTGGCCGCAAAGAGGCATCGTTGCTGGCAGTGCCTCGGCTACGTATGAAGCTAAATCGTTTCTACTCCCCACCATTTTGAGTCATCGTGGGCAGGGGGGGACGAGTCTGGGTCTGCATGTTGATGATCTGTCCATTCATTCGTGGGGGGCCCAACTCGAGACGGTTGTTGAGAAGCTACAGGATCTGGCAACCAGTTTAGCTGTCGTCATTACCCAACATTTGGGGGTCCCCTTGGCCGAGAAGAAGATGGTTTCTGCTGCTAACTCAAATGCGTTACTTAAAAGCTATCCTGGCCAAGTTAGGGCCCCTTGCGGGTCGAGGAGAGTGGGCCGCTACTAATTTGGGTTTGGCTTTTACTGCTGGTAAACATCAAGGGTGTAGATTTGCTCGTGCTGTTCGGAAGAAGCGGTTTAGAACGTTCAATTTCAGGATCTCCAAACTCCGCGGGTTGAAGGTCTCCCAGGGTAAGAAAGCGAGGTTGTTTAAGACAGGGATTCTTCCTACGATCTCTTTCGGCATGGAGGTGCAAGGAATTACACCACATGAGCTGCTGCGAATCAGACGGGCTGCTGCCAGAGCTGGAGGTGTCAGCAAGCGGGGGTGCAACCTTGACCTCATGTGGGCCGTCTCCCCCAAGGGCGACCCCATTCACCTGGCCGCTGGAGCGTTAAAAAGGTATGCTTGGGAGTGGTGGCACATGTCAGAACAATCCTCGTACGGACCTCGTCGCCATGCGGATGCGATTAGCACTGGAGAACTAAGCAAGACTTTCCATGTGGTTGAGAAGGAGTTTCGGAAGTCTCAGGGCAAGTCTTGGTTGGTCCGCACCAAAGGACCCATATCGGCTATGTTACTGTGGCTCCAGGAAGCGGGTTGGTCTTGGGAGGGCCCCGCAGTCCTCGTGAGTGCTAGTGGTCAACGCTATGTTCTGACTGAGAGCCCGCCCCAAGCTGTTGCTGAAGGTTTCACAAGAGACCTCAGTAGGCATTTCCTGAATAGGTACCTGAGGAAAGTAGCTCGGGAAGTAGGATTTGACTGTCCAATTGTAGGGGAGGGCTTTTGGCTCCCTGTAGTTGTTCGCACGGCCAAGAAGCTAGATGGTGAAGGGAACCACCTCTGCCGCCAAATTTTATCTGGAGCTCTTCCCACTGGGACTGCTTTGATCCAGTGGGGATATCAAGTTGAGGAGGTCTGTCCTCTATGCCAGACGGCGGAAGACACCTCGTGGCATAGGATGTGGCAGTGCCCCTGCCCTGAGGCCGAGGAGAGGAGGCAGGAGCACTTTGGTTTAGAATTTTTGGCCCAGGTCCGAGCCGCTGGACCTAATAGTGCGTTACTTTCTCGCCTGTGGCCTGTCATGCCAGAGGTAGATGCTCCTGCTTCTGATTGGAATCTCACTTTTGTAGGGCCGCAAGGAGAGGAAGTCGACCCCTTTTTCTTTGAACCTGATGAGACGCTTTTCTCAGACGGCTCCTGCTACCAAGGCGAGACCCCTGAGGCAGCAAGAGCGGGATTTGGGATTGCGTCGATGTCAGATGACGGCAGTTTGGTCAGAGGGGTATTTGGTCCCCTCCCTTCCATGCACCAACAGTCGAGTGGTGCTGCAGAGCATGCTGGTTTGGCGGTCGCTATTTTACGTAGGAATGTGAACAGTACAGATCGTGCCGCCAGCAGCATAAGAGTTGACTATTCTGGCCTCTTTGCGGGAGTTCGGAACGCCTCGAGGGTGTTGTCGGGCAGGACGCAATGCAGTTTCTTTTGGCGGGAGATTGGCAAGTGTCTCCAGAATAATCCTTGGCCGACGCTTTCCAAGGTGAAAGCTCGCCGGTCATTCTGTGATGCCACCGATGCTGAAGACTATCTGAACATAGCGGGGTCGACCATGGCTGATTTATTTGCTAAGCGTGGTGCCCAGGTGCATAATATTTCACCAAGTGATCTAGAGGCTCTCAAGCAAGGAGAGCTTGAATATCAAAGCCTTGTCGCAGGCGTCATCCATGTTCTCAAGGCGTGGCCCAGCTGCAGCCAGCAGTTTGGGAAGATTTCCAGGACCCCGAGGCCCAAAGTGGTCAGACAAGGGGTTGCGCACATCCCCTCAGCACATGGCAAATGTATGAGATGCCTTAGGTGTTTGAGGGTCGTGTCGGGTCAGACTTCCTCTCCGTGCGTTGCTCCCAACCCCGCGATCCGCTCCCTGCTGGAGGGTGGTGCGGGCACTGGGCATAAGTTGCATTGGGCCTGTTGTGAGGAGTCAGATGCCCCGATCATCTTTTGTGTATTGTGTGGTGGCTCAGCATCGGTCAAAGCTGATAAGCTACTGAAGCCATGCACGAATCCCAGGCGGTCCTCTGAGCGTTCTAAGCTTCTCAGAGGGATCGTTCCTGGCACGTCCCTGCGTCTGGGCAAGTCCTTTCCCCTTTCGTCCTTTCCCCCTTTCCCGCTCCCTGCTTCCACCCCTTGGACTTCGACCCAGGACGAGGGAATTTCCTCTATGTAGTCAGCGTTCGGTGCTCTTGGAGTGTCAGGACGCTCGTCAGTCTGTTGAGTCTGTTGAGGGGGGGGAGGAGGAGGAGGAGGAGGAGGAGGTGGAGGAGAAGGTTTTCGCTTCGAGCGGGATTGGGGCTTGTTTTCCCCGTTTCAGCTGAGACCTCACGCGCGGCACCCAGCGGTGGCCACAATCACGGCAGGGATCGGCAGGGCGATCGCGGCCGCCAGAGCCCGCGTGGCACAGACGCGAGCGCCGCCGCAGGTCTGCGGCGAGGACGCTCACGCGTCTAGGAGAAGCGGCTGGACTTTTGAACGCGCATCATAGTGCACAGCAGCCTGCTACATGGATGTCGCGGTCCAAAGGTTGCAAGTGGGAGGGCGAGGGCTGCGGGAGACGAGTACCTGTACGCCATCAGTAATGCCTGTGCCGGACGGCCTGCCACTTGCACATGATTCAGCAGCTATCAGATCATTGGCAAATGGAGATCCCGAAGGGCGGATGGCATCAACACGTGTGGCAGCAACCTCAGCAGCAGAGGCAGCAGTCGCAACAGCCTCCCTGGGCGAAGCGGCCTCCGCCGAGCAGGCAGCAGAGGGGAAGGAGGCCATCGAGAGGCAGGCAGGATCTGAAGGCCATCAGCCAGGCTCAGGTGCAAAGAGTCTTGGCGATGATGCCAGTGATCACCTTCGAGGAGGCGGAGTCACATGGAGTCACATCAGGACTTCAAGCAGCCCCCCCCCCCTGCGGAGGATGGAGCGGCCCAAGCGGCCTACAGGAAAGAGGCCAACGCGAAGGTCGCGAGCCTCGCGGCCCTCGTGGACGCGGCCATCCGAGCTGGCGAAGATCCTCACGACCCACCACCTACGCCAGGGCCGCCGCACCACCACGCACTGCGCACCACGTCACCACGCAAAGGGCCACCACGCCGCGTTCCACCATCACGATTGCTGCTCCACGACTCCTAGGACCGCCGCCGACGACACCACGATACCACGATACCTGCGCACAAGCGCGCAACCAGCACCATCCACCATCCACGCACACATCACAGCCTCAGCACGCCTACCCTTAGAGGCGAGGGTGGCCCGCCGCACGCCGCACCACACAGCACACCAAGCAACCACGCACCACTTACGACGCAACCGTCCGTTCGACACACACACACACACATACACCAGGACCAGGGCCAGGACCACACACAACACTAACACCCCGCCGCCACCCTGTCCACGCAACGCCCTGGCCAGCCAGCAACCCCGCCACCCACGCCCGCCGCCCCAGAACCCAGATTCGCCGCCGCGAATCAACCAACGCACCAACGGCGACGCACGCCAACCAAGACCACACGACCATGGCGCATCACCGTCCACGACATCCCCGCCGCCGACCACAATTCACAATCCCCACCGCCTTTCTGCAACACAACAACCCCAACCACCATCCCACTGCGCCATCACAACCACCACAACCACAGCGAAATCAGCAGAAGGGGGACTGAGCAAGGGGCAAGGAAAGGTAGCTCGCCAGCGCGCCTAGAGAAGTGAAGGCGTGTTTTGGTAATGGTCGAGGTGTCGTCGCCGTAGTTTGGGGGATGGGCGCCGTAAGTTTGGCAATGGTCGGGGGGTGGGGGGAATGGACTGGGGCGTTTTGGTAATGGTCGGGGGGTCGTCGCCCTAGTTCGGGGGATGGGCGCCGTAGTTTGGGGGATGGGCGCCGTTGTTTGGGGGGTGGGCGCCGATTTCGCCCTCGAGTTTTCGAGTTTTAGGTATGGCTATGTTGGGGCATTTCGAGTTTTAGGTATGTTATTTTGGGGATGGTTTCTACCGTTTAGAGTGACCACCTTATTAAAAGGAAGAAAGAGCAGCCAACCTTGCACAAGGCTGCCCTTTCATCCCTGTCCGAACTTTCTTGGAAGGGCTCGGTGCTCTCCGCATCCTTACATGAGGCTGCCCTTTCATCCCTGTCGACTTTTCTTGTCGAGGGTTCGATGCTCTTGGCACCCATGCGTCCACGACCCCTCTGCGATAGCTCCGCTAAGCGAGGCTTTCGTAACGCACATGCATCCATAGACGAGTTGCTCGCCGTATGCAGACATACTGGTTCGAGCTCTCGTCCCAGCACCGTCACAAACAACCCGTCTGTGGAAACCATGCCTCCCGACTCATACGAACACGTTTTTGCGCAGGAGAACGAACTCTGTCGTCGTCTGCACCGGAATGGACTGGGGGCGAAAAAGATCAGCAAGGCCACCGGGCGATCTCAGTCCACAGTGCCCCGGCACCTCTTCAAGAAACACAGGCCTGCAATGCCAAGAAGACGCCCGAAGGCGTTCGTGAACATTGTAAAAAAGTTTCTGGCAGCGCAGAAAGCGCACGGTAGGCTCCTCCGCAAGTCCAAGGGCCTCTCGGAGGTCACGGCGGCCATGGTTAAAGATGAACTGGGGGAGTCGTGCTCCACCCGGACCCTCCAGCGGGCGTTCTGGGAACACGACGTGCACTTCCGACCTTTGTGCGAAAAAAACGATTTGACCCCAGAGGGCACGAAGGAACGCGTGGAGGGGGCGGAACGCCACGGCCACCGAATTCCGGGGCAGTGGGGTCGTTACGTCTATGCTTTCAAAAACAGCAAAGTCTTCCCTGTTTACACGCGCGGGACGTTCCGCAGAGCTGCCGCGAAGCGTTTGGTGCGGGGGTCCTACAGGACCCGCAAGAGAGTGTTCACCACCGGGTACGTCGAGCCAAAGAACTTCAAAATACCGAAGAACAGTGCTGGGACCAATTCCGTTTCCGTGACGTGCGCCATCAGGTCCGAGAAGGTGCTGACGTGGCACGTCGGGCCAGGTCGATGGAATGGAGCAGAAGCCGCTCAGATGCACTCCGGCCCTCTGAAAACAGCGTTCCGGAGAGCGTTCCTTGGGGGGAAAGGGTTCTGGCGTGTGCTGGAATATCGACAACGACCCGACAGGGTACAAGAACAGCGAAGGCCTCGAGGCGAAAACAGCCCACGTGATCCAAACTTTGGACCTGCCCAGACGGTGGCCAGATTTGAACCCTCTGGACTTTGCGTTCTGGGCCGACTTGAATCGGCGGATGCGCGACGCCGAGAGGGCGCGGCCGGCGCCCCGACGCGAGGCCCGCGCCGAGTGCGTGGAGCGGTTCCGCCGCGCCGCCATGCCCACCCCGCTGGAGTTCCTCGCCCGGATCACCAGAACATTCACGGAGCGGCGCGCGAAGCTCGCGCATCCGCTGCGCCCGCGCCTCCGTTCGCCTTGTCACGCCTCCGCGCAACTGCCTGAAAAAGGCTCGGCAACGCAGGGCTACCCCTGCATCCCTGTCTCCATGTGCCGACTCCGAGGTTTCGGCTCACCATGCCATTCTTCCGCGCGACTGCTTGCAAGGGCTCGGCGACGCGAGGCTACTTTTGCATCCTTGCCCCCCAGGTGCCGGTTCCAAGAGTTCGGCTCACCATGTCAAAGGCGCCGAATGGTGTTATTCGATTGGGATGGTGGCACATGGGGCCCGGGTCGATGGGCGGGTGCCCGATCGATGTTAAGCGGGGCAGGGCTACGTCTTCCCTAGAGGGCAATTTCGAGGACAATCTAGAGGGACAACCTAGAGGACAGCCAGTTTCGCGTAGAGCTTCCTGCAAAAGCATTGTCATCTACAAAAAGAGAAGAATGCCCCCATGGCTTTTTAAAGGCTCAACCTTCTTTCTGCAGGAAGCTCCATGCGAAACTGGTTGTCCTCTAGCTTGTGCTTTAGGTCGCCCTCTAGTTGTCCTCTAGTTGTCCTCCAGGGAAGACGTAACCCTGCTCCACTGAATGTCGCCCCGGCCCCCGCCATCTCGTCGAATCGTACCGCGCGGTGCGCGTCTGCTCATCTTGAGATCGACCCATCCCCGCCATCCCTGAAAAATTATACTTGTCGGTGCACATCTGTTCATCTTAACATCGCCCCGCCCCCGCCGTCCGCATTGGATAGGACAGCTTCAGCCACTTGATGCCGCTGCCAGAGGCCGGGTCCACACGTTCACTCTGGGCGCCCAAGGCGGGCTCCGCGACGCGGCCGGCGCAATTGAGGGGCAGCTGGCAGCGTGCGTCGCCGACGCGTGTGACGACCCGGAGCGCGACGCCCGCATTGGTGGACCTGTCGAACGCGAGACGCCTTTTGTTCGCAAGGTAGTAGTGGTGTCTGAGCTTCACGCAGGCGGCGCTCCACACCTCCACGCAGCCGTTTTGCTGGATGGTACTGCCCGGTGGGCAGCTGCGCAGCGCGCTTTGCGGCCTCGCCACCAGCTGACCGCGCGCTTTTCCCTTGGCCACCGCGAGTGGCGGAGCGCGCTGCGCTACCTCGCGCGCGCTGCGAGCAAGAGGCTGGGAGTGGATGGAGACCGAACCGCGCGGCTCGCGCCCGGGGAGTCCGGCGGCGCTCCAAAAGAAAGCCAACGGCCGTTCAACGCTTCAGCGCGGCGTTCCAGAAGGGAGAAGCGCGACGTGGGAGCCGCGGCGGAAGTGGCTTCTACAGTCTTCGCAAAGTTGAATTTCAATGCGTTGGTCTTGAGAAAGCTTGGGTACTCGGGCAGAGGTGTTGGCCTATGCGCAAGATCGCGGGAATGATTCCGCGCGGCTGTTCATGACCAAGCACCAGGGAGACTTGACGAGGTTTCTGAAGTAGCTGATGAGTGGGGCGATGCCAAAAAAGTAGCTGCAGACGAGGCGCTGACTGATTGGGCGCTGCTGTGTCAGACCGCTGATCAGGCTTGCCCGCGCGGCTGCGCCTGCAATTGCCGCCGCTGCCCCGTGGATGTCCCGAACAACAGCGGCCCCAAGTGGGATCGGAAGCGCCTTGCAGCATTGCTTCGCAACGTCGCGAGCGCCGGGCCGACCGTGGACGCGCGTGCATTTGGCAGGGAAAACATGCGCTTGAAAGTCAACTTTAGTGGGCCCGCTTGACAAGCGCAGCCCACCTCCCGTCTATCACTGACGAGAGGTTCGCTTTGAGCAATTGGTTGAAAAATAAGCGGGTTGTGTAAGGGGGCGAGTTCAGCGCGGCAGAGTACGCGGATCAAGGCGTCTTGCCCGCCACCGCGTTCAAGAAGGCGTTCGGTGGCAAGCGCTTCGGGGCTCTCTCGAGGTCCTCTGAGGGCCTTCTTGGAGCACTCCTGGGATTATTTTGGGGCGTCTTGGGGCCCTCTTGGGGCTCATTTGGGGGTCTGGGGGCCTTGTTGGGCTTCTTTTGGGAGGCTTGAGGGGCTTCTCGGGGCCGTCTTGGACCTTTTCGCTCGAAAAGAGGGGGGGGTCCGATTCCCATCGCGCCCCTTCGGGGGCTCAAAAATGCCGTCTTGGGGCCCTCTTGGGCCGGCCGCTCTTGGGGCCGTCTCGGGGCCCCCATTGGGCCCCTCGCGGGGCTATCTCGGGCCGTCATGGGGCCATCTGGAGGCCTCGAAAACCCGCTGGGGGCGAAAAAGCGAGAAGGCAAACAACATTGATTTTCTTTAGGGCATCTTGGGGGAGTCCTCGAGGGCTCGGAGGGCATTTGAAACCGTCTCGGGGCCGTTTTGAGGCATCTTGGATGCGTGTCGGAGGCTATCTTGAGCCATCTACCGCTATCTTGGGCCATCTTGGAGGCCATCTCGCATTCTCTGAAGTCCTCTTGGAGCCATCTTGGATCAAGAAGGACCCTCTGCCACCTCGCGGGGGAGCCCGCCCAGACGCCAGGGAGGGGGGGGGGGGGGGGGGGGGGGCAAACCTCCCGAGCAGGGAAAGGAAGGAGGTTGGAAATGCCCAGGGGGTCGGTGGGATTGGGAACCAGGGGCCCGGAACCGGGAACCGCTCTAAAGCGAGTTTGGGGGCGCAGGGAGCGGAAGCGGGCGCGCGCCCGCGGCCGCGTCGGCTCAAGCGGCCGGTCGCCCAAATATGATTGTGCCTCGTCGCGGGGCGCGCAGGCGCTATCGAGACCAGATGATTTTCTTATTGCTGAAGATGGCACATCCTCTCCTACTGGGACTATCGTTACTACGGTACAACAGAGCTGGAGCTTGGCTTCGCCTAAGGCGAAACTGTTGGCTGGGCCCCCCAGCCCCCTTCAGACTTGGCGGCGGAGCTGGCCAATGGTGGTCAGCTTTCGCGGTGCTCCTCACCATCCACGGCGCTATCATGTGGGCCACGGACATGGTGGAACATCAGGGTGCAGTGGGTTTGCGCGGAGGAGTGTATATAGCTATGCAACATCGCAAGGGCACTTGCAGCGATACCTCTGCTCAAGCGGAGGTCTCTTACTTACATCCTACGTCCTTGCGCTTCTACACTCCTGAAGTCCATCCACCTACTCCAATTGGAAATTTCTTCGAAGATAGAACGCATGGAAACGTGCGATGTGATATGCTGCCGCCTCCAACCCCACGCAGACTTACGACTGCCCAATGGAAGTCCCGACCGACTACATATGACTACGACCTACGAGGCCAATGGATTGGTGTTACTATCTCTGGGCTCACCTGGGTCGCTATTGGGCGCGCGGTAGGACATATGCGTGGGGGAGACGACGCGTGAACGACCAGCCCTCACTGGGGCCCAGCTGGTCAAGCACCCTTTCGCGAATTCGTCCGCGAAGTATATGCCTGGATCAACGTGACCACAGGCAATATGACGCCCTCCCAGCAGGCTGCAGCCCTGCAGCGAGGTTTGGGGGGGCTCGCACGGACTCTAGCCATGAGAGCCCTTCCAACAGTTATCAACTTTGGCGTCAACACAGGCGGCCGCCATACTGAGGGCGCCACCTATCTCACGTTCCTCTTAAGCACGAAGTTCGAGAATTTAGAAGAGGAGCGCCAACTCAACTCTGGTACTGCTCTCATTGATTTCTGAGTCCATGCGGGAGAACGCATCGACCAGACGCTAGCACGTTTTGATATAGCCCGCTATGAGGCTGAAACAGCCTGCTTCAACATCCCCAACTTCCAAATCCTAACAGCGATTAAGTTCAGAGCTCTTGGAGTGAGGACATCGCGTGCACAACAATTCCTGCTGCCTCTAAACCACCATCTGCCGAGAGACCCACAATTTGACGCTCCACTTGAACGCGTGAGGTCATATGCTCTCGTTGCTGAGAGATCCCCCCGCAATATTGGTGGCATCCTTAGTCGCGGTCACCGAGCCGAGACCTTCCACGTGGAGGCAAACGCAGGGCAACCTGCCAACAACGTCTGGAATGATGATCCACGACAAACTGAGACCACTACATTGCTGGCTCAGAATGGTGGAGCGGCCTCGGGGTCGCAAGACTCCTGGGCCAGGCTTCGGGCACCGCCTGATGCGGCTTCCCCCGTGCAAGCCATGACCCGGATGGGCTCAGCGGGGCAACCCGCCGAGTCCGACTTCGACTCCGGTGCTGATGCCGATGCGTCTTCAGACGACGCAGCTGCAGCCTTCGATTAGGCTGATATGCTTGCATTTCTTACTGAAGAGCAACAAGCCCAATTATCATTTGTAGGCCACCACGAACACAAGTGTCGCTGGCGGAGTTTCATGAAGAAACCAGTCCGAAAGGTAAGGCGTATCGTACGACGATCACTCAAAGGAAAGGGCAGAGGTCGAAGTAAAGGTAAATGTAAGCGTCGGCGATGTCATGGTAGAGGCATACTTGCATTCTTAGCATCTCTTACTTGACCACAGCATGAAGACATGTTCTTAGGTACTGGCAGAAACCGCAGGCATACATCGGGAAAAAGCAAAGGGCCACGGGGAAACCCAAAGGATGCCAACGGTCAAACTTTGGAGTGCGACGTATGGCACAGTACATGGCATTTTCGATGCGAATGCCTTCAAGGTGGTGGAAGAGGCAGGGGTCCGTCAATACATCTGGCTCAAACAGATTCCGACATGCAGTATGTTGACTGGGAGTCTCTCTTAGCTGACTCTGCCGATAGTTCAGCCGCAGCCGGATCTTAGCGCCAGTATGGCCCTCGAGAATTACGCCGGCGAGGTGTTCGAGGGGGTGTTCACTGGCCAAAACGACATCGATTAGGCAGCATGGTTGGGCGTACTCATCGCGGGGCAACCTGCAGATATTGAGTTGGTCGACAACTTCCACATGCCCGCCGAAGGAGTTGCTGACGTGGCGGGGGCACCCGCGTATTCAGAAGTTACCATTCCTGCAACAGACGAAGAGATATAGTTGATGCTTCATCCTCGGGTTTATTGGAAATCCGACAGATGGAATTAAGTGATGATGATCCTTTGCGGGGAAGCCCGCGAGGCGCCA